AAATATAAGCGATTTCCCTCTTGAAACCAAGGATGGAACTTCAGAGTCGATTTTCTCCAAAGTTTTAAAAAAATTCTGTTTTCTACTGAAATAGACGGGGGAGATGATAAGCTTTCATTACAAACAAAAATTTATGAGAATATTTCACAAAATAAGATTGAAATAGAATTGAATGAAGATGGGAAATAAAGTCGTTAACCTATACTTGTTTTATAAACACTCAATAACATTTGTATTCCTCCTTTATTTCAAATTCAAATGACCGAAGGAAGATTTTTCCACGTCAGATTCCCCAACCCACATCCCTAACAAGACAAAAGTAATCCGTTTTGACAATCCTCCGGAGCACTAGGAGTTCGGTGGGTTCGTTTTGCCGCATTGCCCAACATGCCGCATCGTGCCCAACTGCACAAAACGACTTGTTAAACGAAACTAAAGGTTTCTGATAAAATCCGGAATGGCCATTTGTTTCACATGAAACTTTAGAATTTTAATCTTTTTCATTTATAATTTGGACCTGTTAGGGAAATCGAAACTATAATCTTATGGTAATATCTGGAATAAAATGAATACCAAGTACAAACGATCAGAACCGTAATACAAAATACATAAATCCATAAAATGAAACAAGACAAGTTCAATAAATAAAATATTGGTCATAACTTGCAAGAGTTATGTCCCTTTATTGCGTGCCTATAACGTCCTCCACGTGCTAGAAAAAATGGCAACTGAAATGTCTCAAAGTGGAAATCTTCTGAATAGTAAATCAGAATTATCAAGCGAGGAGAAGTTTCAAATTCTCGTTTTAGATGTGCCCTATAATTCGGCAAGTCCCAGAATGTCCTGGTGGACAAGGTAGAAGCTGGGGTTGATTGGCTCCACACTACCGGCAGCAGTTGGAGACAAAAATAGACGAACCTGCGATTGTTTAGAAAAAATGACAGTTCCGACATCGGATTCTAAAGTGGTGAGCGGTGAGGGTTATATTTTGAAAACTCAGTATTGTCACCATAATAGCGAAGAGTATGCCTCCGTAAAAAGGCACAGTACGAAAGTCTTGTAACTATAGTTTCGATTAGTCCAAATTATAAATAAAAAGAAAATCGATATGGGACAACAGATTGAAATATTTCATTCCGGATTTTATCAGAAACCTTTAGTTTCGTTTTACAAGTCGTTTTGTGCAGTTGGGCACGATGCGGCAAGGTGGCAATGCTGCAAAACGAGTTGATTGGTGAGCAACAACGCAAATTAAAACTTAATACAGTCATAAAAAATTGTGGATGTTTGAAACTTAGATGTATTGTATCTTAAATGTATGGATGATAGACTATTATATGCCTGGTATTTATACATTTAAGCTTTTGCAGTTGCCGGAATTGTCGAACGATTATCAACACCGTAGTCCTGGAGAACCTTTGTCAGTATTATAAATATTATATCCCTACATGACAAACATAATATAATGAATCTATTTTAAAATTAAAATATTTGTTCAAGTGTGTCATCCGCTATAGGTCCTAACAATAAAAGGTTTTAAAGGTGAATGTAAAAGGGAAGTAAATTGATTAGGGGAGAATCCACGATATCAACAAAATTTAGTTAAAAATTTCTTTACAAAGATGGAGCGATATAACGTACATTGGACTGTATTTCTAAATGTTGTCTTGCGTTTTTATACAATAAACAGCAGTAAGTATTTTCTATTTCAATATCAATTCTTTCTTATAAACTTCATTTATTTGGTAAAATCCTATCGCTTGGTTACTAGTCGAAACATCTTGACTATAGACAGTAACAGTTGTAGAAAGTGTGGTTTGGAAAGTCTCCATAAAACAGGGCTTTGTTTTTTCCGTCTCTACACCAGCCGACAACTGTCCACATAGCTATCAGAAGCTGAAAATTGTCGTAAGAGAAAAATCTGATATACATAGACATTCATAATTATCATATCACGTTAATACCTAATTAACTCCTGTATATTTAATACGGTGTCCGGTGAGGGGTATCGGTACAGTACAAGAAAGTTGAATATGTTGCAGAGCCCAAGTCGTCGTGGTAACCTCGATATCTTATGATATATATACTATCTACAACTCGATAAGGTGCAATAACTTGTTTAAAAAACTTAAATATTAGCCTATCTGATGATAAATATATTAGTCTCGTTCATAACCCCCAAGAAAAATGGTTTATACTTGTAGGTTACCCAAAATTGTCACCCCTCTTCATTTCAAACATATACATTTTAGCCCCAAAAGATGTGTCGGAATGCAGCTTATCAATTCCATATAGGTACAGAAGCGACAATTAGGTAGTTACGTAAAAAATATCGGTATGGCAAGGAAGTATTCTTATACTCATGAAAGATAATCAAAAATTATTCGTCGAAAAGTATTAAAATCTGATGCTGTTATGTTTCTATGTAACCCAAAACAACTACTTCTTAATACAAATATCATTAACGAAAAGACCCTTCTTAACTTGTTTCTTTATCCGTCTTTACTGAATAGTCACATAATCAAATATCAAATTTTTTCAGTTCATCTGTATTCCAATGATGAACTAGTGATTGGTCGAAATTTTACACTGTTCTGTAATACCTCAGAGATCGCAGTCAATTGGTTTAGAAACAACATGTGTATAGGATGGTCAGAAAATCAATATCAAAGTACAAGTG